CCCAGTTCACCCATCATCTCTAGTCTGTGGCCTCTCTATTTGCTCTGAAAGTGTTCTGCTTTGGCTGATAAGTTCTACTGTATCCTCTATGGTTGTAGGTGGCCCACACTTTCATGATAAGAAAGAGAGAGGATCAAGAATAAGCATGGTGGGAAATTCCTGGCACTCACAGGACTGGTTCACTTGCATTTTGAAGTGCAGATGGCCATAAGCACTTGTACATAAAGGCTAGGCAATGGGCTGGAACATAATCAAAGCCCTGAGTTCTTGGAGATGTTTTCTGAAGTTGAGCAAAGAAGCGAGCCCGGAGTGAACGGGTATGTTTCTGCATGCCGATGCAGGCTGATTATCAAGGAAAAGTTCATTAAAATCAAAGCAAATGGATAAATCAAACCAAGCTACTACTTAAAGCCAAAGAGGAAGAAGGTGGCAAAAAATAAAGCACAGTGCAGTCAATAAGAAAGCATCAGGGGTGACAGAAAGACAGCAGTGAGCCTGAGACTGCTGAGTTACTACAGCAGTACCACTGAACCCGCAGCCAAAGAGCTCAGCTGTCATGGAGACCCTGCTGGCAAGGTGTTCAGGGCTACTGTACACAACGATGCCTCAGTATCTGTCTTGGTTACTTCGCTCATTGCTGAGACAAAATACCATATGCCCAAGGTTAAAGGAGGAAAGGTTTATTTACTTCACAGTTTGTAGAGGTTTCAGTCCATCATTGGCTGGCTCCAAGGCAGGGTAGCACATGGCAGAGGGCAGAAGATCATGGAGGTGGAAGACAGCAAAAAAAAAATGAGAGAAAAGAGACAAGCCTCTTCCTGTCCCTTATATTGGGTGCAAGCTCCCCACCCTAGGGTAGGGGTGGCACCCACATCCTTAATCCCAGCATGAGACGATGAATCAGCAACAAACTCTAGCTCCAGCTGCCTCAGGAAAGCCCATCCCCATGACTGCATGAGTCTTTGAGGTGATATTGAGGGACAAACCATAACAGTGTCTATGATGTCCAAAGCTTTTGGCACAAGGATAGGATGTTCTGCATAGGAAAGACATCCCAAATGCTGTTGAGCATATAAGAAAAGCTGTTATACTTGAGTAGCTGGGCAAGAAAGTGAGTGCGTGCGTGTGTGTGTGTGTGTGTGTGTGTGTGTGTAGCTGTAGTTGGCATTGATGACACAAATGATGAATCTGAATTAATCAAAGGAGGGGAAGAGAGAGTATATGTAAGTATACGGTGCAAGCACCATAGCAGAAGTGTCGCTTGCTCCCTGTAGACCTGAAGCTTCCGCATGGGGCCCCGTGCCAGCACTCTGGCTCCTGGTATGCAGGCCAGAAGTGACTAACTTGTTCCAGTTCTCAGTGTGACTCCTGGTGGTTTTCACCTGGGAATGAGCTGGCCCTCTCCTGGAGCTACAACTTCAGGAAACCCACGCTGAGCTGTAGGATTCCTCACGGGGAAATACGGCCATGAGACCACCCAGGTCAGGACCAAGTATCTGGCTCCTCACATCCTAACACAGGAGTCAGCGATGTTCTGTGGCTCTCAGGTCAAATCCACCCAGCGCCCTGTCATTATGTGACCCTCCAACCAAGAGGTAAAAACCAATGAAAGAGTCATGGTAACGTAGAATCATTGATGATATAACTATACTGCTCTAAATCTGTGCATTTCTTGCCTCGTTGAGCCTTCCCAAAACCCTGTACCATCCACGCTATTCTCATTCCATGCCTGAGGAAGCAAATGGGCACTTCCAGATAGGTGAAGTAATACTTTAAGATCAAACAGCTAATGATTAGTTCGGCTAGAATTCAGACCCAGGAACCTCTCTCAGAGCTTGCTGTCTTAACCTGCTTCCCCATGTGACAAGTTCTCCATCACTGTAAGGGTAGAGGGGACATTCCGATGGAGATACTGGGGTGGTGCCTGCTAGTGAGTTCACAAGAGGGAAGATGACATGTCTCAGAGAGTCAGGGTAAGACGCAGGAGGAACATGGAGCCACCTTTCCATCACGATGACAAGGATATAAATTTTGAACCCTAATTAAGCAAACTCTTATTCCCTAAAAAGGAGTTACATTCTTCTCATTATAGACCTCATGAAATTTTCAAGTGCCAAAAAAATTGTTCTGAACTATTATATTTTAATTTCATCAATAAAACATTTGTGGAAATTTTATCCTCTTGTTACTCAAGGGTGTGCGTAATAGCTTCAGTTTGTCCTCTTGGCTCCTAAAGCTTGGGGTTCTTGCTGTCTGGCTCTACAAAGGAAGAGGAAGCCACATAGTGTCCTAGAGTGGTGGAGAATCTTGAAGGTACCATGTGGTGTGGTTGGAAAAGCTTTTGCAGTAATGAGTAACTCTGGGTCATAGAGTTTGGGAAGTATGACCTTGAACTTCAGGTCTCTGGATGACCCCAGCAGTTGCATTACTATAGTCTAGCCAGCAGACAAGTACGAGTCATTCACAGGGACCTCTCTGTGGTGACTGTGGAAGATACCTTGGACCAGATGCCTTAGGAGGCTTAGGACAAAGTCTCCACTGTCATATGCAGGGGACAGGTGATGGTCTCACTGTGACCATCCCAAAATACACTGCAAAGATTATAGCTAAAGACTCGTACCACTGCCTCCTGCTCACAGTGGGCAATGACATGATCGCTGCCACTTCATGACCTACGCTGGATCCATCCAGCTAAGCTCCTTGCTCCTCTGAGCTCCTCCAAGGGAGGATGAGATGGGCAGCAGAGCTCAGCTTGCCAACAGCCAATTCAGAAATCTCCTGCTGCCCGTGTGAGACCTGGGCAGGGAGCCCCTGAGCCATCATGTGCTGGTCACTCATGAGCCCTCTGCT